TGTGTGTGTGTGTTCTCAACCCCTGCACGTCACTACCTCGACTTTAAGTACGATATACACCCCGAAAGTCTTTCTTCCTGTGTACACCGCACCCCGACCCCGTAAATGCGTACAATAACTGGTATATATTATATATTATTATATACATATTCATCCGCCCTTTCCTTGATAATTTATCAATATTTGYACTTCCAGCGCCACCGGCAGCAGCAACCGCTCTGACCCCCCACCCACTTTCTTGAGCGAAAATAAAAAAAAAATCATAAATAATCGCCGGAGTTGACCACCTCGAAAAAACCAACGGCAGTAATAAAACAATACCTGCAGCCATTATACACGCGCTTGGTCGGACGGTGAACTTTTTTTCGGGTCAAGTCACATATATTCGCTTTTGCGTGGGTGTGCATGTGAAGGCTAAACGGTCGTTCTACGTTTCGCGTGTGTGCGTGTGTGTCTTACACAATATAATATATATATATAGGTGTATACAGGTGTATATTAAATACCTACACAGCTGTGGATGCGCAGCGGAAATACGTCCGTCTCGTGCGGTACGCGATGATGGGTGGCGGACGACCCAGTACGGAAGCTCCGAGATTTGACGTCTATTCCATCGGCTTCCCGAATGTCAGGTGCGACTTAACGCATATGTCACGCCTCAGAACGGACAACTATGATTAAAATGTCATGAGTTATATATTATTATTATATAAAATCATGCATATTATATACCTACAAGTATATAATATATAGGTACCTACTATGTATASATTTCAGCTGCAGCTAGTGCCTGGTTTAAAGAGACCCTGTTTTCTATTTACTTTAGGGCTCTATTTAACAAAAAAGATTGGCAAAAATTAGAATTTATTTAAGATAGCTGACTACCAAATACGAGTTTAATCCATGAATCGCAACGATAGTCTCAATTAATTGTAATTTGTTGTTCTTATTTTTTTCAAATTCATTAATTTTAAATGTTTTCAAACGTTAATTGTTTTGTAACATCATGATTAATTGCAAATAATGATAAAAATTCCAGTATTTCTTGTGTTACAGAAATYGCACTCGAGTTTTATATAAATTTTATATAAAATTAACATTTATTATAAGTACTACAATAAAATTAATGAATGATATTGATTAGGTATAGATTATTTGTACCTCTATAGAGAAGTAAATAACAGCAGGGTCCTAAAAAATTGCGGTCCCTGAATTCAGCCCTAAATCAGGGCTTAGCAACAGCAAATGTTCAAAGCTTTTTCGATGTTACTTAAAAATAAAAATGTATGCAAAACCTACACTAATATAAACTTTTCTTTTAAAATAAATTCAAGATATTATCTATTATTTTGGTCAATAATTCTAAAATAAATATATGCTATAATTATTTATTGTATATGGATATAATTAGGTAAACACATAATAATATGTCTAGGTCAAACAATTTTTGTTCACTATTTTTAGAATATAAATATTATAAATATTTATAATACTTATACTTCTTATTTATAGTTAGGTATAGTCTTATACTCTTATACACTTATTTACTTCCTTAATTCTTATTTTTACGAGAATTATCAAATTTTGAGAAAAAATACAATTTTTTCTTAATGTAGGTACACAGTACACACATATTTGCATTCTATCTAAAGTTTTCTAAATCTACATTTATAACCATTTGAGAAAATGTCAAGCTTGACATCAGATATCATATTATGTTTATATTATCCAGTCTATAGTAATATTATCTATATTTTTCTTTAATGTGTTATCATATTTATTTTAATATAATATATATGATAAATTTGATATGTAATGTAGGTATATATATTATACATTACACTATTCCTATTGGTGTTTATTATGTATAATGAAAACCATTTGTTGCATCTCGTCTTAAAAATATAACGATGGCATAAAACGTCAAGTATATCCCAAATAACTTCCATATTTTACAAAACATTTTTCACWCGATAAGATTTATTAACCTCTTGGCTTTGGCTTTGTTTAAAAAAATTCAAAAGAATTCAACTTCTAAAAATAATTAGATCATAGAATTGTATGTTTACCACTTTATCAATGTCAGCCGTAAAGTGAAAATTGATATGAAATGTGAACAATTTTCTTTATACAAACATCAACAACTTTGACGTTACATATATTTATAATGTATATAGGTATGTTGCTGTGTACCTAATTCGGTACTTGTATGTACGAATCGAGCAATTTTACCCTTCTTCACATTCACGCGATACAATTGAATTCCAAGCACGCAACATGAATATTATCGCACATCTGTTATATTCGTGAATTTCATCGGCACTTGCCCATTGGACATTACAATCATGACATAATACCCATTTTGATTCAGGAATAAAGGTGCAAATGTCCTAAGAAAATTTTTTTCACGATYACAAAATATTTAAGAAAACAAATTATATTCATAATCGAATACACGACAGTATAACATCTCACGAACATAATAGACGGTTGATATGTACACGATAATAAGAAATACAATAAGTATCTTTTATAAGTGTACAATATAATCACATAATATATCATGTAAAATATAAATTTAATTAAATACATGTACCTACATTTCTAATTGGTCGATTTAAATTTGAAACAACGAGAATATTAAATGCTATTTTTTCCACCGTCAATCGATATTTTACAGATATATCAGGCATAATACGACAAGTCAACAAATTATTAGGTAGTTTAAATACAGCATTTGCGAGGAAGGCGGTCGCTTAGTAATAACTCATAATATGTTTGTGGGTACCTATTATTATTATTTAGGTATAATTATGTGTTATCAAAAGTCTGAACACATTTTATAGATAGGTATAGAATTATAACTAGAGGGCGTGTAAAATAACGATGATTTCAAATTTGACTACCTAGTATATTGGTGTACTGTATTTTTACATTATAACATATTTAATGATTCGACAATTTTCAAGCATGCAATGAACATCATTGTTTTTACTTGAATAATGAAAATWTTGATACCCAGATTAATATAAGTTAGTCCTTATATAATTTTGAAACCACATAGCCACCATGTCAAAAATTACTCGTTTGAATTTCAATTTAGTCACATCAACAAAARTATATCAGCTTAACAGTATAAAAAAATATAGGGAGACTTTAATTTGAAAAAAGAAAGACGTTAGTAAAATGGTWTAGAAAATCAAAGTATTTGAAAATACATTCYTTAGKTAGGTTTTTAACCTATAATTCAAAATTYAAAATCAGAATTCAAATAAATTTATTATTAAAAGAAAAAATGGGAGTTTGATGGATTAACTTGTACCTATATTATAATATATTATACATAGGTATATCATAAATTTATTGTGTATATACGTTAAAATATATAATATGGAACATTTAATTTCACAAATATAAGTGTGAATTAGGAGCTGATGGGGCTCAAGTTTTACTCGCGTCCTGCAGGATATAGAAGCATGAGCTCAAAACAGTCAAAACACTCTTCATAAGCAATTCTTTACGACTAGGTACTTTATATATTTGCTACATATTTTAGCCCTCATAAAATCGTACTACGTTTTTAGTGGTTTTAAATATTTACGAAATTGCAATATCAGTATAATAATTACAATTTTGTCCATACTGGCTGCTCTAGAATATCAGCCCTGTATGAATTGTTGATTAAAGTTATTATGTGCTTGATGTAATATATTTAGCGAACGTGGAAATGCAACATTTACATAATACTTAAATACTATTTAAACCATGTTTTCTTTGTCATTTTTATCATAAATATATATTCATAACATGCATTTTATTTAAGTAGATATAATACATTTTTTAACTGTGAATAATGTTTCAGTTTAGTTATTTTTCCATAATTCATTGGATATCTGTAATAGATAAAATCTGGTCACTCTTAGTAAAAATCTGCACTTTAAAAGCTTAACACTGTTCATATAACCCCATTATATTATATAAATAAATACGTAATGCATTACATTTTTCATTCATGCTTATATTATGTACTAGTATATTATGATATATGTAATATGTATATAGTCCCGAACTTTGTAAAAAATGAAACTATTTTCACAAAGTCATTAAAAATAGAATGCCGGGATGTTTTAACTTACAATGATATAGTTTTAATGGTTTTTAAAAATATGTATAATTATTA